ATTATTAGAAGTGACTCACATAAACGTTGCTTGATGAGCATAATTTTTGAAAGTGTAGAAAAGTTCTACTGGGCTCCTTCATAGTTCCTTTTGAGGAGGAAGTCTATCCCTTCCTTTGGAATGTGACTTTCTAATAAATCTATCGTCATACCTTGGGGGGAGGGGAAGCCCTACAAGGATACATTTTTTTAATACATGAGAAAAAGTTTTTAGAAACTAATATTTTTGCTTTGTTGACCTGTATTAAAATGTCTTTTCTCAGGTTTTACAAAATAATGCAAAGTACCAAGTTGTACCTAGGAAGCTCACAATAGGAAAGCGCCTTGCTCAATGTCTGCATCCAGCATTACCTGGGGGAGTTCATCGGAAGGCCCTGGAAACATATGAAATTATCTTTAAAATCATTGGACCTAAGCGACTTGCCAAAGATCTTTTTTTATATAGGTAAGAATAAATTTAATATCTATTTATGTGTAAAAAAAAAAGGTATTTTATACTTTTTGTAGTAATTGAAAACTTATAATTTTATGTGAATTTTAAATATTTTTTTATACATGCATAATTGAGAAAATACTAGAATGGTCTTCAGTGTAAATTTTTTTCTTAGATATTGCATGAAAAATTTTTATTCCAAATCCTTGAGGCTATTTGAGAACTGCTCTGTGAAAAAGTAAGATACCTTGATCACTCCAGCAGCATTCAGCATTGTTGACCATCTTCCTTTTTACTCTTTCTCTGTCTCCTTCACTTATGGTTGCTGGGTGCTGTTGAGTCAAGTACAACCCAATGAACAACAGGTCTGCATCCTGTTTAGCTGTACCATCCTCATCATCTCTGCCATACTTCAGCTCTTTGCTGAAGTTACTACTTCTGTCCATCTCATTGAGGGTCTTTCTCTCTTTAATGTCCCTGTCCAATGAATAGCTTCTCCTGCAAAGTATGTCCAAAGTATGTGAAACAAAGCTTTGTCATCTTTGCCTCAGAAGAGCATTTAGGCTGTACTTTCCCCAAAACATATCTGTTTGTTCTTTTGGCCACCTCTGGGATGTTTAATACTCTTCTCCAGCACCACAGACCAAAGACATCAAGTCCTTCACTAGCTATTGAAAATGCGATGACCAAGGTCAGGTGTACCTTAGTTGGTAAAATGCTTCTTCTTCTTTTTTTTTTTTTTTTTCCAAAAAATGCTTATTCTTAAAGCATACAAAAAGTGCTTAGTAAAATTTTAGCCCTTACATGCTACAAGTGTATCTTTTCTCTACTTCCACTGACAACAGTGGTCTACAGCCTGAGCTTTCTCACTGGCCTCCTAAAGGTCACCTTACATAATTTCCTCATATATACTCCACTGTCGACACAGACCAAGAAGTATATTTAATGCATTAAACATATGTCATTTCTTAATAAAAATCCCTCAGTGACTTCTTCCTCTTAAAAGAAAAATTCAGTCTTTAGGTTGGCTTCTCCAGCTTCATTTGTCAACATAGCCTTGACTATGTCAGTGATGTTAAATCCTACAACTCCTCTCCTGCCCTAATTTGTTTCACATTAGTCACACAGATCTCTATTGTTTTTCCTTACTGTTTTTACTGTACTTTTTTCTTCAGTGCTCTGATACAGATCTGTGATAAAATATTAACTCCTTCATAATATTTCCCTGAAATAGTCCTTTACTAACTTGCTGTTGTTGTTAGGTGCCAAGTCAAATATGACTCATAGCAACCTTGTGAACAAATCTGATCTCTGCCCTGACCTAGCCATCTGAGCGATCTCTGAAACACTTGATCTCATTTCTGAAGTCATTGTGTCAGTCCACCTGGCTGAGAGTCATCCTCTCTTTTATTGTCCCTCAGCCTTCCCAAGCATAATGTCTCTCTTCAAGGAAGAGCCTCTACTAACAACATGTCCATAGTATGAGAGGCAAAGCTTCACCATCTTTGCCTCCAAGCATTCTGGTTGCACTTAACTCCAAAACATGTCTATTTAGTCTCTGGTCATGCCATGAGATATTCAGTACTTTTCTCCAACACCACAAAAAAAGGCATCAATTCTTCTGTCATCTTTATCCTTTGTCCAGCCACATAACATATAATGGAAAAGAACATGATTTGAATCAAGCACACCTAGTTATCTGACTTACATCTCTGCAGTCCCTGAATGCAGGCTTTGCCAGTTTCCCCATACCTTTAATGTTCTGTGATTTTACTCTAGGAGCCCTAGTGGCCCAGTGATTAAGAGTTCTGCTGCTCACCAAAAGGTCATTAGTTCAAACCTACCAGCAGATTTATAGGAGAAGATGTAACAACAATCTGCTTTTTTTTTTTTAAATTTTATTTTAATTGCGATTTTAACAAAAGGATACCAGAAAGTTAGATTTTCGTTCATTCAATGATTGTTGCATATTTTATCCCCTCCCCTACTTCACTTTTTTAAAGTATTCATTCATTGTTACACAATTACCTCCCACCCCACCAAGTTCTCTTTGCAATGTACGTCGTATTCTGAGCTGCTGTAGTACATATAATGCCTAATCAGATATTTCTTTTAAACATTTCATTCCTTCGTCTGTTCCAATGTAATGTTTGTTATCTATCCACTTAGTTTGCTTTCTTAAGGATTTAAAACCTTAGAAATCTTATAATACAGTTCTCTATTCTGTAGGATTACTATGGATTGGAATTATCTTGACAGCGGTGGATTTGGTATGGATTTATGTTTTATTATGATGTATTTGCAGGTAGAATTTAAAATTTATCCTGATTATGATTTGGATTTTAAAATCATTTAATTCATATATGTCATCAGTACTGGAAAAATTTCGGTCATTAACATGTCAGATTGCCTTTAATGAATACATTTATTAAGTAATTAAAAGTGTGCTAAGGAATTAATGGAATTAATTTCTTTGTTTTGAACTGTGTTAGAGCCCTGTGAATTAGATCTTTGAGTTATGTTAGTTCTTCTTACTCTACTCTTCCTGTCTCCTCCATTTAACATTTTGTCTTAAATATTAGACATATCTCTTAATGTCTTTTCCCACATTTCCTAATATATTTATCTAAACACTTAACTTTTAAATACATTATTGATATAATTTATAGTCACAGATAATATTTGTATATTCTAAGTTTTGACAAAAGTAGTCAGTTTTATGTAAGCACTACTTTAAATAAGTTATAGGGGATTTCTGTAATTTAAAACCATTTTCTCCAACCCTTTTTCTTGGCAAAACTACCACCCCATGACGACATATGTATTTTTTCCCCCTCCAGTTTGTTATTTGCTTTCCCACACTCTTAATGGTGTCTTTGAAGAACCGAAGTTCTTTACGTTGTCTTTTGACAACATGCAACCAAGATACTTTTACAGTATTTGGTGACTGGAATGCAAAAGTTGGAAACAAAGAAAGACTCTGATAGTTTGGAAATATGGACATGGTGACAGAAATGAAACTAGAGATCAAATGATAAAATTTTGTATAATCAGTACTTGAGGATATGGTAAAATAGTTGGGTTTATGAATATGAAGATAAAGTGAGAGACCAGAGTTGTTTATATTTTGGTTTTTTGTTAGAACAAATGAGCAAAATAAAATTCCGGTTTATGGTTGGACAGCATTCTTTCACATATACATCCAACAAGGAAAAAAAAAACCCTAACCAGCAAATTCATAAGGAAAAAAAAGAAGGAAAATAAACCTTTTCAAACCATCTATTTATAGTACAGCTAAGTACCTACACAAAAATGTTAGTGGAATGCTCAGAATAAGATTGTATTTTCTTTGTCATTGTTTTTGCCCTTTTTTTTTAATTGTAAAAAACACTTATGGGAATGCAAGGGTGTAAGGGTTGGGATCAGAAGAGTGAGGATGAGTGGGGATGGAATCACAGGGTTGCACAGTTTGGTGGGTGGAGGGAGTGGGTGAAGGAAATGGGAAAGATCCAGTGGGGACCAGAAAAGACAGGGTAATGGTGAGTATAGTCCAGTGGTGATTAATTTTTATTTTATTTTTTACAAATAATTGTCTTTTTCATTTGTGGGTTTCTCATTTGCGAATGGGGCACAGACTCTATGGCTGCTTCATGCATTGAGATGAAGGGGAGGGGGAGCCCACTCTAACACTTTACTGGTGGTCTTGAGTTGAAGCTGCATGCCCTCTTGTTAGAAGATATTTTCCAGACGTTTTCTGCTCTCTGGACTGCAAAGTGTTTGCTTGGATGAGTCCAGTGTGGATGGCTGGCTGAACTTTGAGGCTCCATCCACCTGCACTTCCTTAGCTGGCAGTTATATTTCCCTTTTGTCCCTGGAAATGGGCTCAGAGTTCAGGTCTGGAGCAAGACTCATTGTTCAGGTTATCTATAAGAATGGGAGCAAACTTAGAACTTGTGAGTTACAAAGAAAAGGACTTTGGAGGTGTTAATTACAGATGCACTGAAGAAGGAGATGGAGGAAAGTGGCCACCAGGGAGCTCTCCCCAGCTACCCAACAGCTCTCCTGGGGCCTGGCGGCTCTCTGCGGGTGCTGAGTGGCAGTCCTCATGGGCCAGGCAGCACTCCATCCACCACCAAAACTTTTCTGAGGTCTGGTCCTTGTGCCATACTGGAGACCAAGGCCAAGGACACCACTTCTGGCTCTAGCTCCGCCGTTATTGCTCTCTTCCTCTCCACCATGTGGTCTAATTGTAACTCACAGAGGCATTATTACTTTCCCCTTCCACAAATGGAGAAGGGGCTGCTTTTTTTTTTTTAAACAAGGATTTTTTTTCTCCTTTGAGATTATAATGAACATGGTTATACCACAAATAAAGTCAGAATTAGGACACAGAACTCTCTGAAAGCTGGTTTGGTCATTCTGAGATCATTAAAAGTGGCTAACTCCTAACAATATGTACAAAAATATAAAATGTAAGTAAAAAAATACCAACTATTCATTTTTAAAGTACTTTTAAGAAAAAATGCAGGGCCTTGGAAGTTTTTCTTTTTTTTCTGCCTCCCCTTGTTGCAAATTCATGTTGTGATTTTGGTTGGGTGATGGTGAGCGCTTGTGATCTGCTGGTTGCACTGCCCCAAGTGGGCGAGCAGGTCTCTCGAAGGTGACAACATTTAGATTCTGAGAGACGGGAAGTGGAGGGTGAATAGATCATGATGGTCTTTAATTTTTTTTCTCTTGTCTTAGATTTAACTTTTTTTTTTTTTGCTTTCTAGTCATTCTTATTGGTCTTCTGCTTCTTGGTGTTAACATCGTCATCCTCCTCATCTTCAGCTGCCCGTTTGCCTGTAGCTGCCTCAGCCTCCTTATCTTCATCACCATCTCTTCCTTGCCATCACCTTCTTCGTTTTCCTCCTCTTCTTCCCTACCTTCTTCCTCTTCTTTGTCTACCTCATTGCAGCCTCCTGTTCCTCTTTTTCTTCATTAGCATTCCTGTCAACGGGGGCAAGAGCAGAGTTTTAATAGATTTGTAAGTTAGCAATTTAGAGGATGTAATTTCAAAATTCTATATAGCTAACTAGTTAATATTAAAAAATTGAGATGTGCATGGAGTTATATATTAGTTAGAAATCTCAGGTAGTATAGTCTGTTGAGAATTGCTGCTAACCTAGAGTTCACTCTTCTCTGTTAGTTCAAAGTCACCAGTGACTTTAAGGGAGAAAGGTGGGCAATAACCTTCCATGCTTTTTATAGACCCGATGACCTATCAGCTGTGTCAGTTCTGGCTTGATGACAAAAAGTGAACCCTTATGAGATAATTTGTAGTTATATTTATCCCTCCCCCTTTTTATTTTTGAACAGTTCTGGATTATTTCCTCTTCTTGCAAATGCTGCCATGTCTGTGAAACCAACATTGCTCAGTTTGTATGAGATATATTACCTTCCTTTGGGTAAAACACTGAAGCCTGGTCTACAAGGATTGCTAACTGGTATTCTTCCTGGCTTAGAAGAAGGATCAGAATACTATGAAAGGTAAAATAGTGCTATCTCTCAATGTAGCTAAATAATTGAATTTGTTAACAAGCATCTTTAAATCAATTAAGATTTAGCATTACTAAAGTCATGTCATCTAGATAATGCCGTTTATAATCTTAACAATTATATAGCTATAAAAATTCATGATAATGTATCATATTGGAAATATAACTAAGTGGTAAGTATACAGACTTGAGAGTCAAAAGCACTGTGTTTGCATCCTAGCAATGCTACTTTGTGAGCTAAAAACTTTGTGCCATGTAATCAAAACTGACTTATAGCTGATCCTCCAGTGGGTTTTCAGAGGCTGTAAATCCTGTAGGAAGAGATTGCCCATCTTTCTTTTAAGAAGCAAATGGAAGATTTGAATTGCCTATCTGTCAGAATATTAAATGATTCAGGAAATATTAAAAGAAGATGGAAGGAATATACTGAGTCATT